TGTCTACATACAATGGGAAGTTAAAAAATATGGCACACATATATTATGAAATATGATGCAGTCATTTTAAAAAATGAGATAGATCTTTATGTCTGCCCATAATATATCAAGTAAACACAGAACAAATATGATTCCATATTTACTGAAGATAAAACAAGATGTTTGCATGTCTTTATATAGGCATATTGAAGGATCTAGAAAAAATAAACCATTAAAAAATAATTACCTCTGAAGAGTGGGGCTGGGAGAGGTGAGTGGGAACGTTAATTTTAACACACACACACAAAATGAAAAAATGTTATGCAAAAGCAGATAAAAAGTAACAGTCATTTCTCTGCAAATGATCATAGTTTCCCTTCTTCCTTCTCTTCCTGCCTTCCTTTCTACAAAAACATGCCAAGATGATTCCACTAACAAACCAGACAACGCCTCTGCCCTCAAGGAGAGCTCCTCATCTAGGAGGGGAGAGTTTGCGCTTTATTTTACCTTATTTTTTATATTCGTTGTAGGGATGAGGACATAACTTGCCTATTGAAAGCTCTTGGTACAAATTTGCTGAAGGAAGAGAAATCTACATTAGTTTAGGTCCATTTATCAAAAATTTTCAGACCACCAACTGTGTACCAGATACTGTGCTAAGCATGGAGGATTCGAAGATAAATAACACAGAATTCTTGCTTTCAAGGAGTTCAAAGTCTGGTGGGCAAGACAGACCCATAAACAGTGGTGCCAGCATTACTGCATGCCTTGTCTTTTATACTTAATGCATTATCTATGTATACTGAACTTCAGAGCCAAGGAAGGAAATATATCTTTTGAGATTTACCTGTTATGATTTCAGTATTTCTACTGCAGTTGTCAGTAGCTTGACCTTTATGCCCCGGGGGGCTCTTTGGGGCAGAAATTGTGGCAGTGTAGGACTTGCAGGGACTCCCTTTGCATTTCTGTGAACAGGAGATAATGTCCTTAATGTACTTGTTACTCTCACTCTGCCAAAGAGAACTCCTCGGACCCTCTGCAGTTATCCTTGAAACTCTTCACAGTCCCTGGACTCACAGACTCTTAAGAGCTGGAAGAGATTTTAGAAGTCATCTCGTCCATTTTCCCACCCCACGCAGGAATCCTCTTGAGTAGTCCTGGCAATCACTCTGTCTCTGCTTGAATATTTCTGTGACAGAGCTCACTGTTTTTCCAGGCATTTCACACCCAGCTGTTAATTTCTATACAGTTGGTGCTCAGTAAATGTTGGTTGGGAGAAATGACATTGAGCAACATATCCTCCACTGATACATGTTATCCTCTGCAGAGCAACAAAGAACACATCTACCCTCTCTTCTATTCAAGAGTTCTTGAATATTCAAAACAGCGGCTTTCTGCCTCCTCAGCATCTACTCATCTCCACGCATTCTGTGGTTTTATTTCACACCCCTCCTCACATTATAGAGCATCCAGACATAATGGAGAGACCCTGTGTTGTGGTGGTCCCTCTCTATTTTCTAGTTTTTTATGACCTCTCTTAAAGTGGTTACAGTTTTCTAAATTCTAGAGTATGTTCTAATCAATGCTAAGTCAGGCAGCAAGACCTTTAACATCCCTCATCTGGTCATTGTATTTCTATCAATGCAGCCTAGACCAGTGTTTGCTCTTTTTAGCTGTCACAACACACTCGTGCTGGGTTTGGGGTCAGCTACAACCACTAACTCCCAGCACTGGGTCCTCCACAAGTTTGAGAAGCATGCTTCCTAGCCAAGTTGCTGACAACAATGTGCAGCTGGAGAGGGCCAAGTCCGGGCAGAGTGGCTGGCGCACTGCTGGAGGCTGTGAAACTGCCTTCGGGTTCATCATTACCCTCTTGATAAGGACTAAACAGAGCCAGGAAATAACAGACGCAAGTCACAGAACCAATCAGGGACAGTCCATGTTAGAATTCCTTAGAACTCCTAGATTTCACATACCTATCACATATAGATGATTAAATGCCTCAAGCAAGACTGGCGACAAAGGACACTTACACTTATCTTTTCATAGTTTGAACTTCCCATTTAAATGGCCTCACACTTGCCAAGTTTCCATTTAACTCCGAACAGTAAAGCCTGAATTAAGATTGGTGACGGTCGGTCATCTAAAACATGTCAGAGGGATTACAAGTTACTTAAGCCCTGAATTGGTTATCACAAATTAACTACAGACTTTTAAAAAATCCCAAATTTTGCACTGTTCATCCTCTCTTTAAGGAAAAAATTTGCTAATATTGGGAATTACCCCAGAGTGGCAAGTACCACTTGAGAGGAAAGAGTTGCTCTAGGTGTATGATCCACCCACACCTTAACGTGCTTTTGCGTCAAGGATGGGGCTCTGGTTGAGCACAGAGGCGCGCAGGCATATGGGCTGGGTCAGAATAGGTTAGTATCAGCCAGATCCTCATCAACGTAAGGCGTGGTGCCGTGGACCCAGTTCTGACTACCCAGGGGCAGGCCATGCAGAGAAGATAAAAAAGGGGGGAAGAAAGTTTTGTGCCCCAAGTGGTTGGTGTCAGGGCTGGAAGCAGTTTCAGGGTAGGTCTTAGGAATTCCCTAAAATCCGTCTCTCTCCATCCCGCACTCAGCCGGTGAGGCAACATTCTAGTGAGTATAGTGACGTCGGGCTGTGAAGATGCAGCTGTTCAGAGCAAAATCTAAAATTGTATTTTCCTTCTCTCCGCACTCACACCACCCCTTTCTCTCCTCCCACCCACACTCCCCCTTCTACTTTTTGCATTCTATACACTCTCATTCTCCCCGCTTCCCCCGCCTTCTTCCCCCATGCCCCAGATGCTTCTTCCCCTCCAGGGGCGGGGCGGGTCAGACCTAGCTGGCTCAGACTCCCGCGGGGTCGCGAGACCCTTCTGCTTCCTGGCCCTTACTTCGTGCCGGCGGGAGTGGGAGCGGGGAGGACCTGCATCAGGCCGGCGCAGACTGCCCGGCGCTGCTGGGGCTCGGACACGTAACTGCGGAGTGCACGTGGAGGACCACGCCCTCCTCCCGTCTCTATAGCAACTATTTCCGCCCTTTTTGTGACTCGGGAGCTGAAAGGAGTTAGGCTCTGGTCCAGTCCCAAACCACCTTTCACATCAGCGTAAAGAACACACCTCTTTTCCTCCTCCTCCGGTTCTCTTGCCCCAGTTCTTTCCAGTATGGGACAAGAATTGAAGGACATGCCAAGGACAGAGAGATCAGAGTTGACTGAACAAACCAGACTCGAGAAATTATCTTTACCCTCCCTCTTTTCAAAAAAGTACATGGTTATCTGAAGCACATAGCAAAAGTTCTGGATATAATTTATTCATCAGATGAACACTTTTTGAGCACTTACTCTGCACCATGTTTTAGAAGCATGAAAAGTAAGGAAAGTTACAGTGTAGTTGAATGATAGTTGCATGGCCACGGAAGAAACAGACATTCAAATAAACTTTTTTGAAAGAACCATGTTGAATCTGGGTCTTAAAGGACAAATAGGAATTAGCAATGTAAAGAAGGCAAATAAGAACCAGTCTGAAGGCCTAGGGCCACAGGACCAAATGGTACCACTGGTGCCAGTACTCTTTGGTGTGGCAGAGGTCAAAAGCACACTTGGGCAGCATGAGACGAGGTTGAAGCAGCAAGCAGGAGCCAGACAGATTCGAAATATCTTCTGAACGAAACAGGCTAAGGTGTATGTGTGATTTTAAGCAGAGGGGTGTTCATGCTCAGATTTTATTTTAGAAACTCCCTCTGGCAATAATGGTCTGGAGGGTGGGCCAGAGGAGGTTAAGAATCAAGGCAAGGATACCTGTTAGAAGTAGTAAGTGATGATGCTTCAGAGTGAGGGACAGCAAGTGGAAGGAGAGAGCAGTTTTGAGAAATTTAGGAAATGGAACTTAGTGACTGCAGTGAGTGTGACGGTGCCTTTTACTAACGGAAAATATTGGAGGGAAAACGTTGGGGGAGGGGGACATGCTGATTTAGCGATGACTTACTGCATCATTACCAAATGGACCAGGCAACAGAATGTGTCAAGAGCAAGGTCTGGGCTAAAGATCCTATTTTGGCAGTCACTGTCACATAGGTGACCACTGGTGCTTGAAGTCACCTAAGCTTTAAGAAAAAGAGGGCAGAGGAAAAGAATGGAATCACACAGAATATGACACTGTGGTGGAAGGAGTGAGCATAGGTGACATAAAAGATTAGAAAGCTGCAAAATAATGAACAGGCAGGGAGGTGGGGAGAAAATTACAAAAGAATGATGTCACTTGAGCCCAGGAAATAAAATGTTTTAACCTACTTTATAGTATTTTTCAATAAAACTATGAATAACACAAATCAAACAGGTTCACCAAGCTGGTCCAGATGATGAATCAATGATATCAGTACCTAATACAGGGCAGGCTCTTAATAAATGTTTATTGTTGAACTGCACCGTACAGAGTATCCCCATATTATATAATATTATGTAAACATCTGGAAAATATGTTTTAAAAAGAGGGAGAGGTGGGGTAGGTGAGGAGGCATATGACAGTATAAAATTACACACTAGATAAGAAAAAATGTACAACAACAATAGGCAAATGCTCACTTTAATCATTATTCTAAATTACTTATTTCCACATTAACACAGACATTTCCATAAACCAAGAAGAACTGAGCTAAGTATTATACATTTTTTAATGGTTAACATGATTTGAGAATTTTCATTAAAAAGTGATCAGGAGCTGGTTGAAATTCTAATCATAAATATAAAATATCTATTACTATTTCATTCACAATGAATTCAGATCTAAGGTTCCTGAAAAGCTGCATTATCTAACATCATAATAGGGGTGACTCTGTCCGTGACAGCCACCCTCTAACACACTGGCTCCACATAAAGTGATGACTCTAAGAAACAGCTCTCCCCCTTTATATTTACAACAAAAAGGCTTAACACTTTTTGCAAAGCACTCATTTTATCATGAAATGAAGACAGTCAGAGACACATGGATACAATGGTATCAAGGAAAAGAGCATATCAAAACGTTTTCACTTTTATTAAATGTTTTGACAATGAGCGCTTCATAAAATGTCATGAAATTCTATTTGCTATACAATAACCATCTACTTCTAAGTAGGGGACATATGCCATAGCATAGCAACCATTTTAATGTGGACAATAATTCTGAATTCTTAACATAAAAACATTTGGCTAAAATATGAAACATCTACGAATTAAAGGGACAATGTAGCTTAAGTAATTTATAAGATTTTAGAAATGTCTCCTGGAAGAAACAGGAATGTTTCCTTTTGCCAGATAAACTCTGAACAGTTAAAGTTAAGGTGCCATAAACTAGACAAAGCTAGAAAGGAACATTACGTTACTAGAAAAGAACAGCATGTAATGTGGACTTCCTCATTGTCAAACTGACAACCACTTAATGACAATGACTTATTATACATAAGGAAAATAAAATATGCTCTTCAGAAGCAAATGACATTACAAGATAATTCTTATAAACAAACCTCTTATTGAAGTCTTGAATAGCTTTTCAGAGAATATAATCACAAACTGGGTAGAGATACAGTCAGCCCTCCGTATCCATGGATTCGAAACCCTGTATTCACTGTAGTATGCCATTTTATAACATGGAAGGGACTCACCGTCTGCGGATTTTGGTATCCCTGGAGGTTCCTGGAACCAATCCCCCGCAGATACTGAGGGATGACTATAATTTATATGACATTAAAAGATTCCTTCTTATTATAATACCCTCCTCAAATATAAACACAAATCAAATATAAACACACTTATAAAACTGCGATTCTCTCAATCAAAGATTTCTCCGCTCCCACACTCAGCTACTAGCGGCATTTGGATGCAGAGGTTTAACTCGCGCTAATCTGGACAAGCCAAGGCGGAGACTCTGGTTTGGGGATTTAACAAACACTCCTGCCAGTGGGCTGCTGCTGTTGCTGCTACTTCCGGATACCGCTGAAATAAAACACATTACTCGATGCTGATAATGTTACCAATCTCTTCACAGAGAGCAATTTATACAACAGAAGAGGCAACAAAAGTAGTTAAGCGTTATTCTGCTATGCAGGTTCTATCAAGATATATATTAGATCAAAAGAATGGAAAGTAGTAAAGTGCAGAAAGAACACAGTCTTGCCTATCTTCAATATTCCCATAAGCCAAGATAATGACACCAAAACTTTAAACGTGAAAGCTGAAATAGGAAAGTTGAGAGCAAATAACATTGGTCGTAAAGGTATAAAGAAATGCATGCAATCATAATTTCTAAAGTAGTAGAAAAATCTAATGCATTTTTTAAAATCTTGCAACTTTTATAAATACTCCTTGAAAGAATCTATTTTTTCAAATGTTAAACATGACAAATACTGTCTTTATTTATTTATATTATTTTCATCATGCTACCACTCTAACACAGCAATTATTTCATCAAGTATTAAATTTCAAAATGTATGCACATAAATGTTCATAGTTGATCATGATTGTAGTTGTAACAAGTACAACTGTGTATACTTTTACATGTAAAGATTTGTAAACATTTCCACGTTTCTAGCCATCTGATTTATCATTCTTAATTGCATGTATGTGCCATATATTGATCCAATTCCTACAACAAACTTTTGGGTTGTTTCTAGTTTCTCACCATTTTTCTGTAAGTGGTTATAAAAAATATGACCACTTATTACTTTTTCTTCTTTTGAATTCTTTTTTTAAGAATAAATTACCAAGAGTAGTTCCTAGGTCAAAGAATAGGTTTATTTTTATGGGCCCTGTCAAGCTGTCCTATAAAGGGATTATAAATTCATAATAAATAGTTATACCTGCTACCCCACAACCTAGAGTATACTAGATGATATTGCTTTATTATTTTCTAGTTCGAGAGGTACAAAATAGTATTTTATTATTTTAATTTACATTTCCTTAATTACCAGTGAGACTGCAATTCTTTTCATATTTCTTTCTGTTGTCTTTCTTGAGGGCCTTAGTGTGTTTATGTCCTTGGCTCATTTTCCCATTGGGATCTTGGTGGTCTTCTCCTATTTGTATAAGACAGGTACTAACTGGCAACCTGAGGGTCAAATCTAGCTCTCAGATATAGTGTTTGGACCATATGGTGTTAAAAAAAAAGTAAACTTTTAAAAATTAGATTTCACATTAAAATCTAAATTTCTGGCTTCTCTTGAAGAAATCAGATCTGGAAATGCTAGGCCCATAATGCTGAATGTAAACAATTAGATGGAGCTGAGCAACACCTGCCTCCTTCCAAAGAGGCCTGAGCTCTCAAGTCCCACAATTCCTGCTCACTCAAGGTTATTTCTCAGGCCCAATTCACTCATTTACACCACTTGCCCTACCCTTTCACACAATGAATCTATAAGGACTTTGTGCTTTATGATATTAACTCTTTATCTGTCATTCCATTATTTCCTTTTATCTTTTTGATTATGCTACCTTTAAATTTCTATAGTCATTATATCATTTCTTTTGTCAGGGAACCACTAATTATTCCCAGAAGAAATACACTAAAGATTATCTTTTAAAGGATATGGCATCATTATTTCAGGAACTAATCTTCCTGCTTTCCTTCTCCAAAATACTTTTAAGTCCTCATTAAAATCTTAGAATTTTTAAACCAGAAAAGACTTTAAAGATTATATAGTGGCTAATATTTCAGAAGATGAAATGAAGACTCAGAGAAATTAAGTAATCATGCAGTCTTAGGCCTAAATCTGTCTATTAATACCTAGCTATCATTAGGGGGGTGATGAAGAAATGTCACTGAAAAGAAGTAAAGTAAACCTGAGGAGACTTGGAAAGACTTAGAAAAGGAGAGGGGACAAACGAAGAAAGACATACCAGACTGAGGAAACTGGATAAAGAGGCTCTGACAGAAGAATTCATACACCGTGTTTAAGGAACAAAAATGTATCAATTTCAGTGGAGAAGAGGGTTCATGTGGTTGGATCAGGGAAAGTGGAGACAGGACTAATTAGGAAGCCACCAATAGTTTGGGTATGAAATGAACAGGGCCTGCATTAGGGTTTCAGTAATGCCAAGATGCGTGAAGGTCAAAGAATTTTGAAGGATCAGTGAGGCTGTGGAGCAAAAGAAGACAAGGAGAAGTCAAGTTTGTAAGAGCAGGAGGTTGAGTCTGCCAGGGCATTTGTTAAATACTGGCATTCCTGTGCACAGGCTCTGAGGCTTCAGTCAGACTGTGGACACCAGCAGGTCTTGAGCAAACAGATTTATTGCCAACAATATGTATCAGGAATCTTAAATGTTAGTACTCTGACACTGTAATCCTAGTACTAGGAATTTATCTTAAGAAAATAATCAGGGATATGCCCACAGATTTCTAAAATAAGGATGTTTGTGCTTATTGCAACCTTATTTATAACATTGAAAAAATAATAACCTGGATGCTCAATATAAAAGAATGATAAAGCATGAATGAATGCAGCAATTAGAAACCTTGGTTTTGAAGAACATGTGATAATATGGGGAAATGCTCACATGTAACATTTACAAGTAGGAAGAAAATCTGCCAGTGGTAATTTTCCAAGCCCCTGCCCTTGATCAATAAATATACCATACCTGGTGGGACCCACTTAGGTCTCTTGCTTTCAGCTGAAGGACTGCGTATGTGTAATGGTTTCCCAGCAGCCTCTGAAGAAAGAGAAACCTTTTTTGGTGAGGGCTGAGATTCTGATCTGACAGCAGCTGGAGCAGAGTCTACTGAAGTCACTTTGAAAAATATACATAAAAAAGTTTGTCATAGAGGAGGATAAAATCTATCAGGTATGTGTAAAAATTATAGTTACATAATCTTATAAAAATTAAAGAATATCATAAATTTGAAAAACTCATTAATCAACAAATATTTATTGCCAGCCTAAGAATAGCCATCCTTCATGAGCATTCACATGCAAGGCAGTGTGGTACAAGTATTATATACATTACCTTTAACCCTTAGAGCAACTCTGATACAGATATTACTATCCACACTGTTAGACAAGGAATCAGAGGTTAAGCAGTCTGTAGCTTGATGGCTTTGAAGAAGATTCCTATGAGGAAGAACTCGTAATTCTAGAAAGTGAAGTGAAAGCTGCCCTCAAAGTAGTGGGAAGAAATAAGTCACCAGGGGTAGATGGGATATTGATAGAATTATTTCAAGTCACAGAGACAGAATCTGTCAAAATCCTAACAAGAATATGCTAACAAATATGGAAAATAAAACAGCGGCCTACAGACCGGAAATGCTCAATTATAACCCAATCCCCAAGAATGGAGATGCCAAGGAGTCCAGTTACTACAGGACCATTGCTCTAACTTCCCATGCAAGTGATGCTCAAGGTGCTGCAACAAAGGCTTTGACCTTATGAGGAGCAAGAAATGCCTGATGTCCAAGCTGGATTTCCAAAAGGGAGAGGCATGGGAGATCTAATTGTGATTATTCATTGGCTAGTGGAGTACTCCAAAGAATTTCAGAAGAAGGTTAGTCTGTGTTTAATAGACGACAGGAAAGCCTTTGACTGCATGGATCATGAAAAGCTGTGGGCTGCTCTGAAAGAAACCGGCAGCCTCAGAACCTGACTGTCCTGATAAGTAACCTTGTATTGTGGACAAGAAGCCACGTCAGGACAGAATATGGAGAGAGAGATGGTTTCCTATAGGCAAAGGTGTCAGACAGGATGCGTTTTATCTCCCTATCTGTTTAATCTCTACGCAGAGCATATCATACCAAAAGCTGGGCTAGACTCAGATGAAGGAGGAGTGAAAACTGGTGGAAGAAATATCAACAATCTGAGATAAGCAGATGACAGCGTCTTACTGGCAGAAAGCAGCAGTGACTTGAAAGGACTTGTGATGAAAGTGAAAGAAGCAAGTGCCAAAGCAGGACTGCAATTGAACATCAAGAAGACAAAGATCACGACTACAGAAGAACTACACGACTTTAACATAGACAATGAAGACACTGAAATTTTTAAAGATTTTGTGTACCTCAGTTCAGTCATCAATTTAAATGGAGACTGTAGCCAAGAAATGAGAAGGGCTCAAATGAGACTCAAAAAGGCAGCAATGAAAGAATTAGGAAAGATTATCCAGTGCAAGGAAGTGCCGTTAGAGACCAAGGCCAAGACTATCCACACCCTCGTATTCCCAGTTACTGTGTACAGGGGTGACAGCTGGACAGTGAAGCAGGCTGACGGGAAATAAGTAAAATGATTCATTTGAAATATGGTGTCGGAGGAGAGCTCTATGAATACCCTGGACTGGCAGAGAGACGAACTAGTGGGTCTTAGAGCAAATTAAGCTTGAAATATCGCTGGAGGCAAAAATGATATTTTACTGTATACTCTTCTTAATGTTAGCATCTATATTCCCTAGATCAGCATTGTCTAACAGAAGCTTTTCTGCAATGATGGAAATGCTCTATATTTTGCACTGTCCAATACAGTAGCCACTAGCCACATATAGTTATTGAGCACTTGAAATGTGGCTAGCAAAAGCAAGCAACTGACTTTTAAATTTCATTTAATTTTAATTAACTTAAATGTAATATAGCTACATGTGGGTAATGACTACCATATTGGACAGCATAGCTCTTGAAATTTTCTCTGTCAAGAGAAAAATTGTAACATGTGCCAGATGAAAGACTCTCAAAAGGTTACTCAATACATTATTAGTGGTACTAGAAATATAATCCATCTTTCCTAATTCTGAATCCCATTATTTAGCAATTAAATTTTACTTCGAATATTATATATTGAACTTCCTTGTGAAGCAACCTGCTCCAAGGTATATAGAAGACTTTAAGTGGTAAATTCCAACTTGGAAACTGAAATTTTATTTTTAGTTTTTAGTGTGTCTTGGTGAGGAAGAATAAACAAAAATCTAGAGAAAATATAAAATATATTCATTTTTTTTTCCTATTGTTAATGACTTTCTCATATCACAGTTTGTGGTAGGCAGAATAATGGCCCCTCAAAGAAGTCTATATCCTAATTCCCAGAACATGTGCATATGTTACCTTTCATAGCAAAGTGACTTAGCAGATGTGATTAAATTAAGGATCTTGAGATGGGAGGATTATCCTGAATTATCCGGATGAGCCCATGTCCTCACAAGGATCCTTATTAGTGAGAAGTAGGAGGGCGAGTCAGAGTGACATGACGTAGCAAGTCCCTGCCACTGCTGCTTTTGAAGACAGAAGTGGGCCCCCAGCCAAGAAATGTAGATGGCCTCTAGAAGCTAGAAAAGGCAGGAAAATGGATTCTCCCTTAGAGCCTCCACAAAGGAACAGAGCCCTGCTGACAGCTTGATTTTAGCCCAGTGAGAACCATTTTGAACTTGTGACCTGCAGAATTGTAAAATAATAAATTTGTGTTGTTTTAAGCCACTAAGTTTGTGACAATTTGTTACAGCAGCAATTGGAAACTAATACACAGCTTTATCTCTAAAAACCCCTGCATTTAAAATCTAATTTCTGGAAACCAGATGAATTTGTCAACTAAACACAACACTAATTAAAACTTTACTAATTCAGAATACAGTGGAGGGAAGAATATGACTCAATCAGTATTTAATTCTTATTTCTTAGTAAGTACTCAGCACCACGCTATTTAAGGTGAGAGCAACTCCCACCATTAATAAATGGAGTCTGAATAATGGAAATTTTAGTTTCAAATAGCAAATATATTAAACAACTAAGACATAAAAATATATATCAATAAGTAAAATGAATCAGGTTAGTGGAAATTATATTTTTACAATAATCTATCACATATTATGAACTCAAAATACCCTAACTTCTTTTACACAAGAAACAGGTATTCCATGTTCAAGTTGTCACAAATTCCAAAGGTTTTATTGTAAAAATGGTTTCTAACTGAATTTGTTTTGAAAAAATAAAAAGGCCCTAAACATGTGGTAAAAGGCTTCTCAAATCAAAGACTAAGTCAAGTATAAAAGTAAGAAATTAGAATCATGCCAACTTCCCTGTTTAATTGCCTGGAGAAAATGTGCTTCAGTGGATACAGCTGAGGCTCAAATGGACGAACCTGGGTGCAAATTCTAGCCCCTCACTTATTAGCTGTAAGAATTCCAACAAATTATTTCACCTCTGAGCCTCAGCTTTCTCACAGTAGCAGGCAGGTGATAACAGCCATCTCAGAGGGTGCTGTCAGTCTAACGGAGGTAAGAAACAGTGAGTGCTAGATAGGGAAGGGACTCAGTACTCTTGTCTGCTTTTCTCCCTTCCGTGCCCCACTCTGCTTTCTTCTATGCATTTTAACTAGAAATGAACACTGGCAAAATGTTAAGAAGAACAGAGCCAAAGATAAGAAAAACACATTAAATAGACAAAATACGTTTCCTTTAAAAACTTAAGCATTTTTAACTACGCTTACCCAAAGCATTACATTTGGATTTAGGTTTCTTCTCTTTCTTTTCAACTGGGGATTTTACCTTCACTTCTTTTTTTTTAATTTCCTTAACTTTACTTTTTCTCACAGGGAAGTCTTCATCATGGTCTTCACTCTCATTATAATCAGAATCATCTTCAGCATCTTCACCTAAAACAGAAGATGATATACTTCACCTTTGTTCTACACAGTGAGGCTTCTGTTGCCTCGACTTTACAGCTTTTGCACCCGATTCTTGGGCACTTTTGTGCCATGCCTTTTCTGGTAGCAAAACACTGCAGTGATCAAGAGCATGGTTGCCTGGGTTTGAATCCTGGCCCCTCCACTTACATGCTGTGTGACCTCAGACAGGTCGCTAACTTCACTGTGCCTCAGTTTCCTATGTATAAAGTGGGGATAACCATAACTTACATCATAGGGTTGTTGTGCAGATTAAATGAGTTAATATAGGTAAAGCATTTAGAATAACATCCAGCACATAGCAAGCAAAATAGAATTGTTTGCTATTACTCTTATCATGATAACTTCCCATCAGTAATCTTTACTTTGATTTTACCAGTTTAAGTCAGTAACTTTTGAAAAGAGTGGTAGGGTATAACATTAGCTACTCTTTCAAAATGATGATCTTGCTGGTAATAATAATGGTATACCTTCCCTTAATCACATAAACTTCAATATTCTAGAATAGAAACCCACTGAGAATTGAGAAGAGACTAATCACACCACAGCAATCTTAACTGATAATCCCATATGTGATTTCATTTGGAACACACACACCTCCACCTTCCCACAAACTCTTTTCTGTGCTGCATGGGATGAGAGGAGCCAGTGCTGTAATATGTTAAGTAGCTGCAGCTGCACTGGAAAAAAAAAGCTTGGAGAATACCTGATAGTTAAGCAATTATCCTTCTATTTTGGAGGGAGGAAAGGTGATCAGAAAACCACGTCTTGTAAATAATAAACTCTGAAAACTAGATATAAATAAGGATTACTCCTATATTCATAAAAAACTTTTTTACATTTTTTTATATTATAAAAGCAGTACCTGTTTATTGCAGAAAATGTAGACCACACAAAAAAAGTATTAAGGAAAAAGAACATCTGCTCCCTGATCTCACCACTCAGAGATAATAACTGTTATACCCACCATATACAATATCTACCTACCTATATGAAATAATATATTTTGTATAAAAATAAAAATATCTATGAAAATTTTCAAACATACACAATAGTAGATAATAATAAACTATTGCTCAGATTCAACAATCATCAATATTTTGCTACATTTGTTTCCTCTCTCTCTCTTCTCTTCTCTTCCCTTTCCTTCTTGGAGTATATTAAGTAAATCCTAGGCATTGCATTATTATACTCCTACATGCTTCAGAATGCATCTCTAAAACACAAGGCCTTTTTTTAACACAACAATGTCATTATCATATCTAACAATAGTTTCTTGGTATTACCTTCTATCCGGTCTATATTAATCACTTTTAATATAGAATAAAATCTCCTCCCTTTTTCTCCCATGCCTTTGACTTGCTGAAGTAACCAGGTCAGTTGTCCTATAGAATGTCCCACATTCTGGATTTATCTGTTTTCTTCCTTATGGTGTCATTTAACTTATTCTTGCATTTTTTGTGAGCTGGGATTTTCTCAAGGCTCAATTAGAATCAGGCTCACCTTATTATTATTTTTTTGGCAAGAATATACTTCATAGGTGATGCTCTGTACTTCATGTTACATCATATAGAAAGCCCATAATGTATGGTTGGCCCACTCTTAGTTGGTTCAGTTGATGCCAGCCTGAATTCTCCATTGTAAAGATCCTCAGCCTTCCATTGATGATCTTTGCCTAAATCAATGATGTAATTATGATCTTAAAATCACAATTTGCTTATTCTATCATTCTTTCCACACAAAGTTTTAAAAACAGATAAAAGTAATCAACCCACGTAGTCACATAATGGCTACTGTGTTATATGGAACTAGCCACATAAGGCCAGCAGATCACATGAAGGCTGTTATAAATAGTACCTTGCAAAATCAAGTAATTATTTCTGGAGTCCCAAGACTCCAGATGTTCAGGGAGGGCAAATAGTGAAGTTTCTCTAACATTTCAGAATATAGTATCTAGGAGGGCAAAACTTTCTATGTATTCAATAGTTCTGGTATTGCATGCTTTCTTTTCTTGGCTTGAGAGGATAAATGGTCGGAGCTGGCTATAACTCTAACAAGTTTATCTAAAGATGGGGTCCAAATGATCTTCATTAGTCAACTGAGAAAGCAGTTGAAATAATTTAGAGGTGGGAAGATGGAGATCCCAGAATCCCAAGTCATTAGCGTACCATATTGGAAAATCTGGAAGGCCCAAAGACTTGGGTTATGGATTCTGGGAATCTTTAGACATCCTTAAGAAAAGTCTGATGTTCTCTCCCATTTTAACTTTTCTTTCCCTACTGAAGGTCACAAATGATCCCTTCTCTTCTCATCCAGGGTGAGCCAGTGCAGGGGGAAAACTCTGACATGTCACCTAAAGAAAAGGACCCTGCTCCAAAACAGTATCAGGTTGTCTGAGATGATACCAGTTATACATTCAAGTATAATAAAAAATCACCTCTGAGGGGACTGGAGAGCTGTTAGTCATCCTTGGCTTAGGGTGAATGGAAATAGACTGATTGTATTGCTCCTTAAAATACACTAGCATAAGGAGGAAATGTTTGTCTTTCAATTTAAGGTAAAGCAGGCTTGGCTGGAGTAGCTTAAGGAAGTTTAAAAGGCCAGAAAACAGTGTAAGGCTTTTGCATTCTTGGGGTGGGGGACAGAAGAGGAGCCAGAAAGCTAGAGAGGCAAGGATAAACGTTTGCCTGAAGCTTAGTTTGTATATGACAGCACAGGCTAGAGGGCAGTTATCACCCCCTCAGCTAATGAGCTGGCTCCCTGTAAGGGCTGAGGACTGCTTCTCAGGGCTGGACCACACGACAATTTATAGATAAAATAGCCATACTTGCAGTTTGGTGGAAAGCATAATAATGCAACAGGGGGAAAAAACCAAACCAGCTCTCAAAGAGCTAGAGAAGAGTCATTTTCGTCCACAAGTGATGCAAGAAGATAAGGGATTCTTCTCAGAACCTAAGAATTTTTAACTATCTACTATGACATAAACCATTAGCATTATTTTCTCCCAATGTTCTAACCAGTTAAACATCCAAGAAGGATTCAGACATTCCATTTACTGACAAATCATTTTTACCACAACAGCTTCCCAGTATGATTACTGTCCACAATACAGTGATAACAACACTCATTATCAGAATTCACAATAAAATCACCATTTAACAACCACATCTTCCCCAAACAACTATAGGTCTTGAATCTGTCTAAAGGAAGTGATGATAATTTTCAGTTAAAAATATTTTTTGCAGTCCTCATATCCAGCATAACCTCAGAAGCACTCATATTTCAATAAATGTTTTCCTTGCTATTTTTCTTGTTTTCTTTATCTTAAATCACCATTCAACTGTACAAAATTTGAAATTAAAATGTATTCTTATCTCAGAATTATGGCTCATATTTCATCTCAAAAATATTTGGTTATGCAGAGTTGAGTAAGAAAAACAACTTGCAACTGAGCTATTTACTTTAATGATTATTTCCTTTAAAAAAAATTTTAATTGTGGTAAAAAAACACATAAAATTTACTACATTAACAATATTTAAGCATACAGTACAGCAGTGTTAAGTGTATTCACATCGTTGTGCAACAGATCTCCAGAACTTTTTCATCTCGCAAAACAGAAACTCTATACGCGTTAAACAACTCCTCATTCCCTCTTCCCCCAGTCTCTGTTAACCAACCATTCTACTTTCTGTTTCTATGAATCTGACGATTTTAGACACCTCATATAAATGGAATCACAGTATTTCTCTTTTGTGACAAGCTTATTTCACTTGGCATGATGTCCTCAAGGTTCATCCAAGTCGCAGCATGTGAAGGATTTCTTTCCTTTCTAAGGCTGAACAATATTCCACTGTATGTATAGCCCACATTTTGTTTATCCATTCATTTGCTGATGGACATTTAGGTTGCTTCCACCTCTTTGCTATTGTTAATAATGCTGCTATAAACATGGATGTGCAAATATTTGAGACGCTGCTTTCAATTCTTTTGGATATATACCCAGAAGTGGGATTGCTGGATCATACGGTATCCATTTTTAATTTTTTGAGGAACTGCCATACTGTTTTCCACAGTGGCTGCATCATTTTACAATCCCAACAAGAATGTACAAGGGTTCTAACTTCTCTGCATCTTCACCAACACTTGTTATTTTCTGTTTTTTGACATCCTAATGGGTGTGAGGTGATATCTCATTGTGGTTTTGATTTGTATTTCCCTAAGGATTAATGATATTGAGCATCTTTTCATATGCTTTTTGGCCATTTGTGTATCATCTTTGAAGAAATGTTTATTCAAGTCCTTAACTATTTACTTTTAAGAGCAGAGGGGTGGTTTTAAAGTCACTATCAAAATCATGATTTCCATAAAAACTTACTTTATAAAATGGTCCAAGAGATTATCTGAAGTTGGGATGCAAATAAGACAATATTTTTCTTTTTAAATATATATCATACCTCAAGAAACATAACCTGTGAATTATATAAACCCAACAAACAAAGCAAGTGATTTCACATCCACATACAAAGCAAACGTTTTAATCCTTTATTAAAGATAAATTAATTTTGTTAGCATGCTAAGTAGACTTGCAATTTATAACTTTAGGATATAACTTTAGAATTGTGTACTGATTTCTCCATAGAGCTCCTGCCTTGGGATCACCTGGGTCATACAGAGGGGCAGGTATTGGTTAAAAAGGCAGATTTCTGGGCTCTGCCCTGCCTTCCTCTTCTTCATAGCCCTTCCATGATGCACTTGACACATTACATATTGTTACCATCTGCGTCCTCTCACTCGAATGTAAGCTCCTTAGGGGAGCTCTGTTTGTTGTGTTCACTGCTGTATCTCTAGTGTGCAGAATATAATGCATATAACAGGTACCCAAATATTTGTGGAATGAATGTTGATGAACAAACCTGTTACTGTTTGTTGATAGTATGTTAAAATCTATCAAAATATAGCTTCTGATTTGGCATAAATTTATTAATTTATTCATTTTAATTTTTAATCAATATATCATGATGCTCTGTCAAGATCACTGTGCTTCCCATTTGCCTTAATTTCTGAATGAGCCTGGAAACAACTGTCACAATCAAATACAGGTTTCATATCTCTTCTACCCCAAAATATTTCACAAATTTCTACTACATCCAGAAAAAAGTCTACACTTAGAGTGGATGTGAGACCCTCCACGATTTAGTGCTGGCCTGCCTCTTTAGGCAACACTCTTCCCTGCAGGCCTCAGTGAACTTCTGTGCGTGCACTTGTCTATGCCACTGTTTATGCTTTCTTATCAGTCAGAACTGCTCTTTTATCCCTTTCGTTTGTCTAAATGCTATTCATTTCAAGACACGGCTTAAAGGTCACCTCCAGATAAAGCTTTCTCCCCAAATGCCACAGCTGAATTTAAGTGGCCTGTGTGTCCCTCAAGTTAGCATACACCAAACATTCAGCCAGTGCTTTGCATACATTAACGGTCTCTAAGAACTTTCTACTCAATTTCCATAAGATTCATTTTGAGGTAGGATATAACTTACCAGTTGCAAAGTCTGGTTCGGAGTCATTAGCACCATCACCGTCACCGTCTTCCAAAAGAATCTTCCTTTGTTGCACCACAGCTTTAGATGCTGCTTTTCTTTTCCCTTGAACACCATGAAAATCATCTTCCTCAGTAATCTTATCCAAATCTTCAGGATGAGCATGAAAATCAATGGAAAGCCTTTTGTGACAGGTAATATTTAAAGAGCTGCAGAGTAGACTCCTATTACATCTGTTGTTTTTATTTGCCCAGCTTCATCCCTCCCCTGCTTCTAGTAATAGACCACAAAGCCCAATCTGGACCAATCATAATACATCAGTCCCCTGACCACAGAGTCTGGCTTAAGGATAAGTCCAAGCCCCAACCTGAGAGAGTCTTTCCCCAAGAATTTTCAGACTGGAGCTGGGAAGATGCAGCTCCTTTCTTCAGTGGTCAATTGCTATTGACTAGAAGCTATGGGTAGTCATGACCCTCCATCAGGGAAGAAATTGAGTCTGCAGTAAAAGAGAAGAAAACTAAAACACAAAGAAACAAAGGGGAAGAGGTAAAGAGAACCTTGATAAATTTAAAGACCTTGGTTCTGGCTACAGTTTCAGGAATTTAAATAAAGTCAGAAAAATAACATTCTTGATACAAAAAACAAATATTATTATTAATATTGAAAACTTACCTAAATAATCACTGGCTACACTGCAGTTGGAGATATGGGGAGACTTATTCATTCTTTCTATTTCACTATTGCCACGTTTTTCAATGCCTAAATATAAGGAAGAAGTAAGAAGATACCTATGCACCTTAATCAACCAATGTCTAGAAATAGGAAGATTAGAGCTAAAATGTAATAGCATCTGGCTACAGATAAACGATCCAAACTAAACAAGCACAAAGATTTTACTTGGAGAGGCTAGCATATCCTTAGGAATTTGGGCTCTGGAATCAAACAGACTTAATCAGACTTAAGTTCAAATTTAGCATCTACCACTTAAACTGGCTATCTAACCATGGGAAAGTTGCTTATCCTCTCTAAGACTTAATTTCCTCATCTATAATGTGGAGATAAAAATAGTGTGGCGATTATATGGGGTTATTGTGGGGGATTAAATGTTGATCACATGTGGAAATTGCTTATTGTGGTGCCCAGCACATAGGAACGAGTCAATAAATATTAACTATCATTTCTGTGTAGGCGGATCCATGCTTTTACTAACATAAAGACTCTTCAATCATTACAATAACCTTAAAATGATCTAAAATATTTTAAGAGGACTTTAAGTCATGATAATTGGTATTATTAAATCCCAGTGCTATAAAGTGCATTATTCTATGAGAAGTAATACTTCCAAGAAAATCCTGCTATATATTCTACAAGCTCTTATAGGAGAGAGACGAATTTTATTTTCTCAATTTTAGATATAATACATGACAATTCTAGGTTTCTTTGATTCCTGATTACCAAAAGGCCCCCTAATCAACACTGTCTTATTTATTTTCAAACAGGAAGCAAAACTGATTTAAACATCTATATCCCTAAATAAGCTAATGGGCTAAAAACATCCTCCAACATAGAAGAAGTTAAGCCAAAACAATTTAATCCAACAAGCATTTTAGCAGTTTGAATGTCTTTTCCAGCAATGATTTGTGCATCTCAAGAATATCAATACTGCCACCTGCTGCATAGTTACCAGAAAAGTCAAAGGAGAAAAATCCACAGAGAAATCCAGAAGTCATAAATCTCTTAAATTTACTGAGCTTGCGAACAAAATTAGTACCTTAACCTTCGTAAATAATAACCATTACCATCATTAGGTCATGTTTAACTAATGTGAATTTTAAGAGAAAGGAAGTGGATTGTTAGGATTGTATAGATCAATTCATTTGATCAAGAAATTAACTTTTCACTGTACACAAAGATGTAATTTGAACATCCAAGCTCATAGTTCATGCCCTCAAGCTTACTTTGGGTGTTAGGCAGAGATGTATGTATGTACGTATATAAGATTTATGGAACAGAACAAACAATTGAATCTAACTGTACCCTCTGCAAACTGCTTCATTTATCGTCCAAATATTAAAATTTTATTCTCTCCTCTGTAAAGGCTCATCCAAAGAAATGATTACAAAAGCAATAAGAAGGTTACGAAGATAAATATGTAAAAAATAAAGTTACTTTTATCTTGAGACTCCTCCACATCTATGGTGACTGCTGGAAGTTCCTTCACTGATAAAGCTAGTGCGACTTCTAAGTCTCTCTGGTAGAGCTTGTCATCTAAAGCCACCCTACAGTAGAAACACAAATAATAATGAGTTTTTTAAAAAATCAATTTCAAATAAACAGTAAAATTGGAGATTTTCCTGAATTACTATTTGAGAGTTGTTAACTTCACAAAAATGTGTTTAAACAACAATCATGACCATGATTGACCTTTAATGATAAGACTCCTAAAATATGGCAATGTCACGTTATATCTGGCATCAGAGATTTGAAGCAGGAGCAACACGTGCCGTCACACCTGCTGTCTCCTTTCACTGTGATGTCTGTCCTTACTACCAGCTCCATCCAGGTGGGAAGCACCTGCTCAACCCAGAAAAAAGACTTGGCTCAAATATCACTTCCACTTAGAAATCTTCCTTGAACTCACTCACACCTCCTTAGACAGCAATTATGATTATAGCTCTTATATTAAATTAGAATTTCTTTTTTTTACATATGTTCCTCCTAATCTAGACTTTAACAAATATTTCACCAAGTACTTACTGTGTATGAGGCACTGCACTAGATAGGATACTAAAGGTACCTTCAAGGAGTCTGCAATTAAAGAGCAGGTTAGGGAAATAAGACACACTAATAATTATCCCATATAAGAGATGATTATGTCTCCTAGTCAAGGTGGTCAGAAGCACTATGGTGTGAAAGAGGAAGAGAAATCAAAGACAAGTTAGAAAAGGAGAGGTTACAGAAAGGAAGAAACACTGAGATGCACCTTGAAGGATTTATTATTTTTCTAAAGTGACAGTTTTATTGAGACATAATTCATGTAGCATAAAATTCACCCTTTTAAAGTGAACAATTTAACAGTTTTTAGTATATTCACAGAGTTGTGAAACCATCACCGCTATCTAATTTCAGAACCTTTTCATCACTCCAAAAAGAAAGCCTGTATCATTAGCAGTCATTCCCTGTGTACCCCTCCCCAGCATCTGGCAACTACTAATCTACTTCCTGGTTTCTATGGACTTGTCTATTCTGGACATTTCATATTAATGGAATCACACTATTGTGGGCCTTTTGTGTGTGGCTTCTTTCACTCAGTATAATGTTTTCAAGGTTCATCCATGTTGTAGCATATATCAGTACTTTATTCCTTTTTATTGCTGTATTCCACTGTATGGATATACATTTTATTCATCCATTGATAGACATTTAGACTGCTTCCATTTTTCAGCTATTACGAATAATGCTGCTATGAATATTCATGTACATGTTTTTGCGTGGGCATGTTTTCATTTCTCTTGGTTATAGGTCTAGGTCACTCTGTGTTTAACATTTTGAGGAACTGCTACTCTGTTTTCCAACGTGGCTGCAGCATTTTACATTCCCAGTAGCAATGTACAAGGGTTCCAATTTCTCCACATCTTCCTTAACACTTGTTATTGTCTATCTGATTATGGCCATCCTAGCAGGTATGAAGTATTACCTCACTGTGGTTTGGATGTGTATTTCCCTGATGGCTAAGGAGGTCAAGCATCTTTTCATGTGCTTATTGGCCATTTGTATATATTCTTTGGAGGAATGTCTACTCAAATCCCTTGCCTTTTTTTTTTTGGCGAGGAAGATTGGCCATGAGCTAACATCCGTAGCCAATCTTCTTCTTTTTTGCTTAAGGAAGAGTGGCCCTGAGCTAACATCTGTGCCAACCTTCCTCTACTTTAAATGGGATGCCGCCATAGTATGGCATGATAAGCAGTGCATAGGTCCGCGCCCAGGGTGCGAACCTGCAAACCCCAGGCCCCCGAAGCTGAGTACGTGAACTTAACCACTACGCCACTGGGCTGTCCCCCCTTGCCCATTTTTCAAATTGGGTTATCAGTATTTTTATTGTTGAGTTTTAAGAGTTCTTTATATAGTCTGGATACAAGTCCCTCATCAATTATTTGATTTGCAAGTATTTTCTCCCATTTTGGGGGTTTTTTTCTCTATACTTAGAATGTAGTACAAGTTCAAAAACAAAAAGAAAAAAAAGAAGAAAATAAAGAGAATGACATGGGGTAAGTTTCTCTATGTTAATTAACTCTTCTCATACTTGCAGCATAAACCATCACAGGCTCCATGCTCCATTTGTTAATATTCCTCCTCTGCCGGTCTCCTCTCCATACTACAAGTTTTGGGCCTCTCAGGACTCCCTTCTCTCACTCTCTCTTCTGAACTCTTGCTATTAACTAATGGAACTCCAGGGTTAGTCTAGAAACTATGAGACCTTCTCACTGATAGACAAATCTTAAGAATATAAAGAGAAAATATCTTTTATCTGCAGAAAAATACACGGCTTTAAATTTTATAAAACTGTCCTCACAAATGTAATTTTTAACAAAGTAGTCTTGCAAGACTTGAGGACTTCAGACAGGTATGGGATTCTGCAAAAGTAAGCTATAACTTCTACATTTGTAATTATGATTGTCTTACTACTTAAATGACATTCCTTACATGTTTGTGAACTTCTTTTTTACGTCAGAAAGTCAGAAGGGGATTAACAGTACATCCCTGTTCTCCTACATGCACTAAATAAAATAATACCTATGATTCTGCTTGAGTTCTAATTTAAATCAAGAGTTCAAATCTGTCTCTCTTTTAAATTAACACATCTAATGTTGTATATTTACTGTATGTCTTACCTCTCACCTTTTTTTAGGGGTTTTCTCTTGTAGTGGCATGTCTTCTTTCTGGAGATTTTTCAATTTAGGTTTTGTTTTTTCTATTTTTGACTCCTTTGGTGTTGTTCTGGATTTCTTATTTAGAGGTGTAGTTGCAGAAACAAAATCATCTATTTATGTGTGAATTAAAAATAAAAGAATACATAAAATTGCTTTAGGAAAAGTAAAAAATAATAAAATTATGTTCTTAGCAGTTGAAATTCATTATAGTGTGTGTTCAAGTTTTAAAGGTTAAGCAAATTGTTTAATTTCCACAATTTAAAAAATATTGTTGGTATATTGTTCATCTTTATTCTCATTCATACTTTTCAACTTTCTTTTAGTGGCTTTTGTTTATTAAAATATCAATCTATCAAAAACCAATTCACTAAAAAACGGATATAGTTCTTCTGTTGACACTCAACATAAAACTGCTGTAGCTTTTAAACACACATGACACATGTATGCATAGCTTCAGAGTACATGTAGTTTTAATTGCATACTTTAGCATTTATTAATACATGTTGTCTCATTTATGCTTCTCTATGTAGGAATACGATCACTTATGACTTGCCTCCTACCTCTACCCCATAGCACCTAGGACACAACTAGCAATTTATAAATATTTGGTGACAGACTGATAACAGTAATAAAAATCTAGAAGTTAATTCTATATTATTTTCTCCCAAGTCTTAGACACACTTAAGGCTGAGCCCAAGGCAAAACACAGATTCCTTCAAACCTCGGAATTACTAAATATTTGACGCACAGAAAGCTCTGGTGGTCTGAAAAATACAAAACCTACTTCAAAATATAATGTAATCTAACCCAATGTTTCTCAAACTTTTTGATCAAAGTTCCCTTAATAGCAGAGACAAGTAAAGGTATAACCCAATAGGGTATAGCTTAAGCCTAACCTTTCTTCAAGGTCTTGCTTTATTGTACGATTAATGGAGATTTCATATTACATCCTGTAACACATTTGCATCTCAGAAAGACAGTGTGTTACTTCTTAGGGGAAGGGATAGGAGAAGACAAACTCCATTTTGAAAAATATGAAACTAGAGTAGTTTAGACCTGAAGAGCCATTTCACCGGCCCTGTTTATTTATCACTTACCTACATAATTCTTGTCAGTGTAATTATCAGCATAATTATTCCAAATGCTTAGAAAATTATTTTTCCAGACACGCCTCATATGCAACTGAATAATATAGTAATATGTTCAATATTTGAGCTATATATATATATATATATATATATATATATAATATAAATTCTGAGGAAATAAATTTCCAAATCTTTAAAGCAAAAATAAGAATCTCTACTTACCATCACTGTCAGAGTCCTCAAACTGTGAGTAATTGACCGGTTTCTTATTCCTATAACCAAGAAAGAAATTTTTCATTTGCACACATGTCAATTTCTCACCTCCTATCCTTAAGACCAATAATAGTCTTGAGTAAATGAAAATCTGTTTGGATTCTCTTAAGAATACTTAAACTTAAAACACAGTCTGGATTTTACAGTAAGGATTTAGCATTAGCTGAAACAGTTATAACTATACTTGATAAGGAAAAGATTTAATTGATAATTCACAAAGTAAGCATAATCAATATAATTAACACTCAATTTATATACTGTTTAATTGCTGTTGGGCATTTACAAGTTCCTGTTGTATGTATCCTTTTGTTTTATACGTGCATTCTCTCTTCCTCATTAGGTTATAAACTTCCTGACACTAAAGGACATTTTACTTTTTTTATCTCCCCACAATACTAAATAATGTTCTTTATGCAATGGACAGTTAAAAAATGGTGAGTGACTTTGTACTTTGCCACCTGAAACAAATCTTTATACTACTTTAGAGGGCACTAGAAAAAAGTGATATTAAAGTGAAAAAAATAAAGTCATTTCCTTCCTCTTCCTCTAGGTACTAAATGAAATGGTATTCTAGTTTTCATTTCTATCTTTTGCCAAATACCCAACTGTGAATAACCTAGGTTGTCAGTTGTTCCTTCAAGTAAAAATGGTGTTCTCTGAAAAAGAGGCTAGCTCAGCTCACAACTCAAACAACCTCACACATGCTTCTTCTTAAGACAACCACTGTAGAAGTGCTCTGTGCGTGCTTAAGAGTTCCTCAAACAGGATATTAAAATAAAGCGTACTCTTGTTACTCTCCTACTCTTGGGGGTTAAAAAACTTGAGAGCTGAATAAAATATGGAAACCCTTTTAGAAATTCTGGGATTGAATAACAGTAAAATAAAATCAAAACCCTTAAAAAAAAGAAGTATGGTCAATGATTGAGCTATAACGAATATAATAATTCTTACTACTTCATCAAGCGCATTCTTAAGTGAATGGTATTTTCTTTTTTCTTTTTTTTTTTTTACTGAGCATGTAGCAGTAAAGAATATGATGACTACTCATTCAGTTTGTGCCACTGCCTTGATTCGTGCTAAGGTGCTGGCAGTTTTACCACTATTGCAGTGCAAATGACAGAACAATGAAAAAAAGCAAGTAATGTCTTAGTATTATTATGAAAATAGTTTTGACCTCATGGACTTCCAGAGAGGGTCTCAGGGACCAAAGCATGCAGACCATACTTGGACAACTGCTGTTCCAGACAAAGGGATTATGTCTTTGCTACTTGGATGTTTAAAACCCACTTCAAAATTAACACGTTCAAAACGGAACTCTTGATCCCCCATACCTCCTGAATCCATTCCTTTTCCTAGTCTTCCCCACCTCAGTTAGTACTAAGATCATCCATTCAGTAGCTCAGGCCAAAAATACTGTGAAGTCATCCTTGATTCTTTTTTTCCCTTAGCTCTTCATCCACTTCTTCAGCACGTTCTAGCAGCAATACCTCCAAAATATATCCCAAATTCATCTGTCCCATTCCTGTCCACTGATAACACCCTACTCCAAACCACTACCCAACGATATAACAGCCTCCGAACTGGTTGCCCTGCTCTCCTTCTGGTCACCCTTTCTTCCATTGATTCTCCACCAGCAACTAGTGAACTTTTTATAAACCCAAAATCAGATTTCTCTCCCCTATTTAAAACTCTCCATTGACTTCCCATTGCACTTAGAACAAAATCCAAACTCCTTTCCAAAGCCTAGAAGGCCCTACTTGCTCTCTGGCCCCTGCTTATTTCTCTAACCTAATCCCCTAAAATCCTTCCCACTGCTTGCTAATACTACAGGCTAATTACTGGCCTTCTTTCTGTGCCTCAAACACCGTCAAGTTCAGGGCCCTGGCTCCTGTTCCCTCTACCTGGATTGCCCCAGATTTTCACTGGCTAGCTCCTTCTTGTCATTCATGTCTCAGCTCATGTATTATCTCCTCAGAGAGGCACATTCTAACTATCTTCTTTAAAGTAAGGCTTTCCTCCTTCTCAATCTCGATCACTTTGCCATGTTTATTTTTGGCTCCCTAACCTCACCCCTTGACTAGAATGTAACTTCCCACACCTAGTACAGTATGGAAGTAAATATATTCAATAACTTTACTAAATGAATGGCTGACCCTAGGCCTCCATGGCATTCAACTGTGGGTAATCGAGGAATAGTTTCAAATAGTACAATGGAAAGCACAGAGCATCTGGAGCCAGGTGACTTAGGTTTTAGTACTATCCTGCCACTCTCTAGCTGTGTAACTCAGGTAAATTGGCCTTTATGCCTAGGAGTTTAAATCGATAAAACAGGGATACTTAGACTGCTATATCAAAGAACTACAGTCATGAACAAATGAAGCAACACTTAAGTAGGAGTCCGGTGAACTGTAAAGCGCTGTTCGAATGCTAACACACAAGGTCTTACTTGAACGGGGTAAGTAAAAGAAATGGCAACAGCTGCGAAGGGAGGCAAAGAGCAAGAAAAAGCTAGATGCCAGGATACTTCTGAGGAATGGACGGCTCTCAGTGGAGACTGGCGAGTTTCCCAGTAACCGTCCACCCCACCCCACCATCGCTACCCGCCGTCCTACTCGGCCCTTTCCCCTCAATCGTGTGTAGGTAAAGCTGCCTACAGCGTCCTCCTGCTCTTTCTCCCCAGCCCCGCCGGACGTCACGAACTACTCGCCTCACAGGCCGCACCATGCCCCCTTCAAGGCTGGAAACTCGCAGCTCTCAAGTTCGTGGCGGCAGCAGCGGCGGTTTCAATTCCCGCCGAAAACCAGACACGGAGCTCTCCGCCCCCTGCCACCAGTCCTCCAATGACCACCTGCCGTCCCTGCGGCGGCGCATGCGTTCTGGGAAGAACTAATTTGTTCACGCCCTTCCCAAGGCCCTGCCCTTCCGCATCCGGTCTCCCAGAGCCGAGTTTGTGCTTTGCCTCTGCCCTTTCGTCACAACAGTGGCTTTTGCCCTGTCTCTGAAATATACAATAACAGGAGAAATATACCTTCTTACACTTTTTAAATAAATAAACTGAGGCAGGATAGAACAAGGGCGCACTTAGACCGAGGAATTTTCTACAGGGTGCCAGGAAAGCGGAAAAGGTTTGGGGGAATCTGCCGAAGCGGATCTGCTGGCTGTAAAAACAAGTCGGTAAGTCAGCTGATGTTCCCTGTGTGGCGGCCCGTTGACAGCTCGCGGGGTGCGGACCCCTCAGGACTTCGCCACTGGGGGAGGTGAGCTCAGAACCAAGAGCGAGGAAACCCTTCAATCTGAAGCCCCCGAATGGAGGGGCTGTTCCCTTCACTGGGCTGGAGCTTCTCGGTCCCGCCGTCTGCCCTCCTTTTCCCTAATTTAAACCGTAGCTGTATGAGTTCGGTCCAGCCCTCCTCCTCCCATCCCGTTTGCACGGGAAACCTTCCTTGATTTCACCCCTGCTGAAAGAACAAGAGGAGAGAGAGGGAACTAAAGTATCAGTTTGTTGAAACATAATAACTCTAAATGTTGAACCGATTGAAACCAGAGCTAATGGTTTTTGTTTACAGAAAATATTGAATCTAAACAACATTAGACCATAAGCCCATATTTCCGTAACTTTCAGTTCCCTGCTACAGTGTTCCTTTACTGTGTACCCAATTAGCAGCCTGTAATTTTTTTACTGGTGTGTTCTCAGAGAGCTTATTTATTTATTTATTTATTTAATTGTTTCATTATTACCAGCTTTCATTTTTTAATCATCTTATGTTTGTCAGATGCTTCATATTTATATGATTAATCCTTATGACAGCCCTATGAGTTAAAAGGCTTCCTGGGGTCTATCTGAGCTGAGACCTGAAGAATGAGTAGTTGCCAGCCAAGGAAAGAAGAGCAGTAAGAGTGCTTGCTCTAGGCAAAGGAAAAGCATTCAGAAAGGTTGGGAGTGGAAAGAGAGGTTTGGTATTGAAAGGAGTTCAGTATGGCTGGAAAGTAAAGATTGTGAATTTGTGTGTTGGGGAGGAGGGGTGCAGGTGCTGAAAAAAAAATCTGGAGATAGAAGCAGAGGCATTGTAAACTGAGTTAAAGAGTTTGAATTTTATCCTGGGAGCAATGGATATGTTACAGAAGGGTTTTAAACAGGTGAGCAACATGATCAGGTATACACTTTGGAAAGATAACTATGACTTCAGTGTAGAGAATAGTGTGAGAACTGATGTGATGGGGAAAAGCCTAGTGACAGGGAGTCTAGTAAGGAAGCTGATAAGCAAATCTTTAATTGATATTGATCTTTACTCTCTTTGACTAGATTTTCTTCTTTCTGAATAGTGTCCAGTTTGCTTTGTGGAGTATCCTGTACTTTCTATTTTCTATATATCTTCTTCCCACATGGAAATGTTGCCAGCACCATCTCCCTACCCTCCACCCCATCTGAGTATGAGACTCAGATCTCATACTCACAACATCTAAGATCTCCAAGATCACCTCTTTCTCCCTGCTCTGTTCTTTTGACTTTGTAGTCACCAGCTGTTTCAAAAGCTCTATATCTGCCCACCCACACATCTCTTTCTAAGAATCCTCTCTGCTCTTCTCTCCATGTTTTTTCCCTGTTCTTGAGGAGCCTGCCTAGGAATGCCAAGTACTTTATGGGCATAATGTTTTTTTCTTAAATGAGGTTTAAAAGAAATTGTTTTTATTAAAAATGAAGTTCTTCATTTTCATCTTCATGATGATGAAAGTGAAGAGATAAATGTGAGAAAAACCAGAATAATTGACTCAGAGTCACACAAATAAAATCTCTGAGTGGTGGAACATTTTCTGAGAAGTGGTACAGCAATAAGGAAACATTTTTTTATGGACTTATAACCTGCTGCTTTTTTTTTTGTTAGTTCTATGGAAATTCTGCCAAAGAAGATGAAGAAAAATAGAGAAAGATTCTGCAACAGAGACAGGGAATTTCTGTATAAATTCAAAGTAGGAAGTCAGTGCTTAGAACTGAGGGTGCCCCTCAGATTTCCTGTTCAAGAGAATGCCAGTCATTTACTTGGACGTCTGATGCTTCTGCACAATTTACCATGCTTTATAGAAAAAGGTGAGGACTGATTTTTTAAATACCACTTTATTATTTTCCTGTAGACTCTATCATTAGAAGTTTCATATTAAAAAGCTTAGGGCCTGGCCCAGTAGAGTAGTGGTTAAGTTTACGTGCTCTGCTTTGGTGGTTTGTGAGTTCGGATCCCGGGCGTGGACCTGGACACCACTCATCAAGCCATGCTGTGGCAGCATCCTATATACGAAATAGAGGAATATTGGCACTGATGTTAGCTCAGTGACAATCTTTCTCAAGCAAAAAGAGGAAGGTTGGCAACAGATGTTAGCTCAGGGCCAATCTTCCTCACCAAAAAAAGAAAAAGCTTAACCTTAAGAAGCATTGGAAACAGCCGTAAAATATGAAGTATTTTTATTGCTTCCAAGAATAAAAAGGTTCTCCAAACTTTTGTTTTATTGAGTGTTTTTTCCTATAACCCTTGTAGTTGTTTATAAGTAGTTTAGTATAAAAATTAAATTATATAATGAAAAATTAGTTACAAAGTCTAGATTAGAACTCTTAACCTTATAATTTAGTTGAGTGGATTCCTAGGACATTTCAGCTATCACTAATTATGATATTAAAGAATTATATTGCTAAATACATTGCCCTTTTAGTGATCTGGGCCTCAACTCCTGAGACGGCATGGAAGAGAAGGAATACTAATCTTTGAATAATTTTTGCTTACCTAAATTAATTCCATAAGGTCATCTGTATTAAACCATTTTAAAAGTTCTATGTTCTATCTCATAGATGAGGAAAAAATTTTAAATTTAGAATATGTTGGATCATTGAAAGTTAGAGTTACAAGGGAACCTAGAAACTTTCTAGCACAAACTCATTGTACAAATAAGAAAACCAGTACATAAAACAGTTAAATTATTTGCCTAAAGCAGTGGTTCTCAAAAGTTGCTCCCTGATCGGAAGCTATAGCATCACCTGGAAACTTGTTAGAAACGCACATTCTTGGGCCTCACCCCATTCCTGCTGAATCAGAAACTCTGGAGGTGGCATGCAGCAATATATTTCAATAAGCCCACCAGAGAATTCTGACGCATGCTAAAGGTTGAGAACCACTGTCTAAAGTTACAAACTTAGTGACAGAGCCAAGACCAGAACACAGGCATCCTGACTTCTATCCCAGTGCTCTTTCCATTGTATCAGTCTGTAAGTAGTGTCTCTAAAATTGGAATTATAGATATCTGAATTAAATCAGTTTTAATATGCTAATCATTTAATTTCTCTTTCAAATTCAAAAAATGTAGCAATATGTATAGGAAACTCCTTTTCATTTAAACACAGTAACTTTCAGACCCTCTAAATCTGTAGAAGATTTTTCTTTTTTTTGTTTTTGTGAGGAAGACCAGCCCTGAGCTAACATCCGATACCAATCCTCCTCTTTTTTGCTGAGGAAGACTGGCCCTCGGCTAACATCTGTGCCCATCTTCCTCTACTTTATATGAGACGCTACCACAGCATGGCTTAACAAGTGGTCCATCGGTGCGTGCCCAGGATCCGGGCCTGCTAACCCCAGGCCGCCGCAGTGGAGCGCACGCACTTAACCGCTTGTGCCACCGGGCCAGCCCCTAGAAGATTTTTCTTTATGTGCTTTTACCTACTCAGTTTCAAACTGAAGAATCAGGCTTAAAAAATTAACATTTTTAAATTAGTATCAAGGTTATACATAAGATTAAGAATTCTGACCATTCCCCATGCAATAACCTGTGATAGTAAAGAAAAATAATTGTGAAATTAGTTAAATGATCTCCTAAGCTGATTTTATTTAGGTAATTTTACTCGATTAAGGGTATAAGCTTGATAAAATAAAATTTCACATTGGAGTGCTTAGCCAGGTAAAATCTTCCCTGTTTATGTCTGAATTTTGATGATGATGACATTTCTTGTCCCTGTTACAGGCTTAAAAGAAGCTCTGAGCCAATTTATAGAAGAAGAATCCCTCAGAGATTATGATAGAGCTGCTGAAGAATCCCTGGAAGCTGTGAAATCAGGTGGAGTAGATTTACATCAACTGGCAAGTACCTGGGCCAAAGCTTATGCTGAGGTAAGAAAATAGATCAGATTATAAATTTCAGGGATATTCTGGACTTTGGTGAGGATTTTTAAATTGCTAAGGTACTACTGAAACCGTTGTAGAATCCTCTTTTCTATACATACAAAAATTTGTCCCATAACGTACAATATATATTGATGTTTGTGTGCTTCCTTCCTGTAGCAGAGCAAGCACATAAGACACAATATTTTGTGTCATGCCTTTGTAGAACAAGAGGCTACTTTTGTATTTCTAACAGCATAGGGTTGCAAGATGTAGTAATTAAAAATACAGGATACACAGTTAAATTAAAATTTCAGATAAATAACGAATAATTTTTTAGTATAAGTACATCTCAGTTATTACATGGAATATACTTATGGTAAAAAATTATTCTTTGTTTATCTGTATTTTGTCTGGCAACCCTAAACTAACAGTAGTAGTTCATTTTAAGCTTTGGTTTACTTTTGTCCTCTTACTTATCTTCACCGTTGTTATATAGTTGCATAATGTTATCATTTTTCCATTTAAATAATATACCTTATTTCATAAAGTCTAAGATGCCATTGATCGTAACACACCATTATTTTATTTACTACTAAGATAGAACCCCACACCAATTAAACTGTGATAGAATGCCAAGATGCCATCAAATACAAGATGCATCCTGATCTCTGAGAGTTGTAATGTGAAAAAACATGCATCTTAGAATTGATGAGATACAGCGTG